TTCCTCAGGAATACCTTCCCTGATCATTCACTCACCCACCCAGGCTAACGCCTGTGTTCTGTGCTCAGACACCTGCAGTTCCCTTCACTGCACTTACCAGTTTTCATTTCTCCATTTATGTGAGCACTGGTTTCAGAGCTAAAAGCACCACTGGAAGTATAGCTTGAAAATTGCAGGAATGTGTTGATTTTATTACTGTTGCCTCCAAATTGCAGTATCTAGCATATCGCACATGCTTAAAAAGTATTCTTGAAGTTAGGTAATTAGGACTAGGGTCCTTTTTTAGCAGCTACGTCTCTATGAGGGTGACCAGGTGCACCATGAAAGGATGACTCTCAAACAAGAGCAAACAGAGCAATGACAATGTTAGTAGCAGTAGGGAACATGGGTGAGGAAGACATTCAAGCATGGGTGGATCTTGTAGGAGCCACAGCATCGCATCCCCCTCGATGCCTGTGTAAACATGCACAGGACCCGCCTGACAGAGATACCTCTGATTTTTAAAACATTAAAGATTCTTAAATGTTTACATTTTTAAACATTAATTGTAGAAAACTACATATCTATGGCTTGTGAAATACACTTGAGAAAGGCTGATCACTCAGTGCTCTCATTTACTCTAACAAATGTAAATTAAGGTGGAAATTATGCTTGAAATTTGCAGGCCAGGGATATAGCTCAGTGGCACAGTGCCTGCCTGGCAGGTGCAGAGTCCTGAGTGTCATTCTTGGTACAAAATAAAAAAAGAAGAAGTGACATTTGGCTTTCTCTTATCTCCCCCCACTACCAAACCTGCCTACATATATACAAATTATAAAGCAATAAAACTACCCATGTTGGTCTAAGGGCTACTTTCAACACTTAAAACAATCAGAACAACTGATTAATGTTTTATGAGCCTTTGCTGACCACCTACATCATCCACACTCCTTTGAACTCCTACTTTTAAAACTGATTCTGATATTATCTAATACAAATGAGTAACAATGTTTTTTGCCAGGAACTGTACTTTTACTTTTACTGTAGCTTTACTTTTAAGGGCCTAAAATAGTAATAAAGGCGGGTTTGGTGGTGCACACCTGTAATGCCAGCACTTGGAAGGCTGAGGCAGGAGGATCCCCATGAGTTCAAGGCTAGCCTTGCTTACATAGTGAGTTCAAGGCTAGCCAGAACTATATAGTAAGACCATGTCTCAAAAAGCAAAAACACTAATAAACATTCATTAAACTTAGAGTTTCATATGGGTCACAAATTTAGAAATGGCCAGGGAGGGGGCTCTAGCCCCAAGCCTTTCGTGAGCTGCCAATGCAAGCTACAGTTACCAGAACCACCTGGAGCTGGAAGTCCTGCTTCCAAGATGGTACATTTACAAGGCTGGCAAAGCAGTACCGATAGTTCAGGGGAGGCCTCCATTTCTTTCTACATCGGCCTCAGAAAGGCTGTTTGAATGTCCTCATAACTTGGTGGAGGGCTTCTAGAATGAGGGACAAGTGTTGCAATATCATGACCTCAACAAAATGGTAAAAAATAATCTTTAGAAAGCATGGCTGATATCCCCTGCAAGTTAAGGATTATAGAAACTAGCAGTGGTGCACATGTTAATTTTTTATGATAAAAGATATTAATGTACAAATTGTTTTTTCTAAACTAAAACCTCAGTATTCAGATTTAATTGTAATGTTGGCACTTTGCAACAAATAAGTAGATTTTGGGTTGCAGTTTGGCCACACGTTCTTTAAAAGGTTTGCCATCTCTAGACTAGTGTTTGACTCCCACAGGAAAATCCAGAGGCCGGGGCTGAGGCTAAAACCTCTCTTGCCAAAAGAAACAATAAAATAGCAGTTTTATATTGATGGAATCAGGTTTTATATTTACCCTGTCATTTCAGTTTTACAACACAAGCAAAGTATTGCCTTCCATCTGCAGAAACAAAAACGGAGACTCTAAAAGGTTAAACACATTTCTCAACGCGTTAGTGTTAATAGTATAAAAGCTCAGATTCGAACCTACAGATGCTGACCCCCAAACCTATGTTCTTAACCGCCATTTGTGTTGATTATTTTTTGCTTGTTCTGCTGTTGTTGCTTTGGCTTTTTGAGACAGGGTCTCACTATGTAGTTCAGGCAGGACTTGAGCTCACTTTGTAGCCCAGGTTGGTCTCGAACTTGCAACAATCCTCCTGTCTCAGCCTCCTGAGTACTAGGATTACAAGCGTGTGCCAGCCTGGCTCATTTGTGGTGATTCTTAACTGTATTTGCCCACTGGTGAAACTAATAACAACCAAGGACCTGTGGGGTTGTGCTCTCTGTCTTTTTAAACTCCCTAAGTGTGCCTAAGGTGCACCCTGGGTTTAAAAGCACTCCTCTGTGTGACAGTTTTGTGTTATTAACATGAGTGTTTCAAACTGGATGGCAAGTATCTAGAGGGCAGGGGTCTCACCCCCACCCCCATGGATGTCACTGTGATGTCACAAAGTCTGCTCAAATTTCATTGGCTGAAAGGATTCACAGCAGGTGCCAGTCAGAGTGTCAGCAGCCAGGGTGCTCCAGTGGGCCTGAAGGGCACAGAGGTGGTGCCAGGGAGCTGGCCAACTTGGTCACTCTCCCCAGTGGGCAGGGGCTCCCTGGGGCCCATTTGGTGAGCAATCCCTGGTAACACCCGAGGCATCTCAGCTCGGCCCCAGGGCAAGTGGCGTAGAGACCTAGAGCTCTTCCCACACTTCCTTTCCCGGGCCAATCTCAGAAGCCAGTTCAGGGTCCAGAATTCAGGTTTGTGGCTGTCTATTCGCAGTCACCATGGATCACCGAAGCCGACCACGAAGCATAGGCCTGAGCCGAATCCCTGGGGCTCAGTCCCGAGCCACTCGGATCCCGATCCCCTTGCATGTGGAACAAGAGGCCAGGGAAGGAGAAGAATGGGAGCGAGAGCTGCCTCGCCAAAGACCTCCTCCAACCTACATAATCCCAGAAAGTGAAGAGCTGCAAGAAAGCGTTATGGGTAAGGTTCTGTTGTCCTTCCCTGAGTACAACGGGGTTGGCTTCATCCTTGGCCCCCAGAAAGCAGGGGCCGGGAAGCGGAAAGCAGAGAACGTAGTAGGCAGAAGCAGGGTGAGCATTGTTGGCAAAGGACAGATTTTCTATCTGCCTCGAAGGCTTATCACAAGAATTAAGGATATAACATATGAGAACAACTCGAAAGTGACAGAGGCTTCTTGGAACATTTGTAATCACTTCCGGGAGGCAGAAAGCCTGTCTCTTTCAACCCAGCTCTTTCAGGCGTGTGCTGTGTCTCTTCCCCCAACCCCCAAGTCCCAATGGTAGTCGATATGGGTGGCAGGTGGAGTAAATGTCGGAAGATGGAACAATGGTGTTCTGGCAAATGGGTTTTTCTGGGAACTTTTCAAGGTTTCTGTTGTATGTGCTTTTGGGGGTTTTGAGTGTTTTTGTTTTTATTGTTTTGTGGTTTGGGCCCTGGAGAATGAATCAAGCCTTGTGCACATGCGCTGTACCACTGAGCTGCGCTTTCAGACTCACAGGCTTTGACTTCTGCACGTACACACCTGAGACACGCTTATGTCTTCCAAGCTGCCTGTTTTCTCTGTAGTTTCTTTTTTTTTAAGCCAGTCAAATTTAGCAGTGGGGGGGTGGTAATTCTCTGTAGTTTCTATCTTGTGGGAAGAGAAGAAATGGTCTAGAGATACTGCCTTTCAGATTAAACTTTTTTTCTCAAATTTTCTCTAGACTGAACAGGATTACAAATGGAGAGGGGAATTGTGATACTGCTTACACAGAAAAGAAGAATAAATGTTTATTAAAGGAATAAAATGCAAGCCAGTAGTCTTTGGGAGACAATAGCGTGCAATGGGGCTTCTTTGTAGAAAGATGCGAGTCTATAACAGTGGTCAGGTACAGAGGCTAGAAGTGGATCACTTCAGTGGCAGGAAACCAGTCATGCACAAAGCTTTGTGAGAAAGGTGTGAGAGGAGGAGCACATCCAGCTGAGGGCTTGAAGCATCATAATACCCAGGGCACAGGCACTAAGTTAAGGAGGAAGGCAGGACTGCACAGAGGTGTTGGGGGACAGAGAAGGCCAAGGGTGATGGGATATTGTCAGGGGAATAACACTCTACTGGGAGAGTTTTCTGGGAACTTTGCAAGACTTGATTTTAAAAAGACACCCAAAATCGCCTGTTTGTTGTTGTCTGCTCTTACTTTTTTCCCAGATTTAAAAGAGCTACAACTAGAGAAGGGTCATGCCACGGTTTGCACCACTAAAAGGGGAAAAAATACTAAAATGTCTATTAAAGTTCTCAATGCTATCTTCCTATCTGAATTTTTGTAGCCCTTGACCACCTCTCCATACCTTGAGACCCACCCTCCCCACATTACCTTTCTTATCCTTCACTTCTCCCCTCTACTACCCTTCTTTTTCTCTAATATTCTCTTTTTACTTTCATGTTGTCTCTTTTCAATGCTTTTTCAAATCCCACATGAGAGAAAACATTCCCTATTTCACTTTGAGCCAGCATATTCGCTTAGTTTCAGTTCTATTTTGCTCTGGGTGCTGGGGATTGAACTCAGGGCCTTTGCACTGAGCTACAATCCAGTTCTTTATTTTATTTATTTATTTATTTATTTATTTATTTATTTATTTATTTTGAGACAGGATTTCGCGAAACTGCTAAATTGCCCAGGCAGTTTGAATTTTCCATCCTCCTGCTCCAGTCTCATAGGAAACTGGGATTACAGAGTGCACCACCACGCCCACTTTGGTTTGTTCTTGAGGAGATAATATGAACCCATTTTGTGAAAGAGATGGGCGTGGAGGGACAACAAGGATGATGGAATGGCTCCAGGGGATTAAGGATGCCTTTCCAAAATTGGGAAAGTTTGCCGAGATCGCGCTATGGGTACAGCGCAGGCGCAATCTGGGCAAAGAGGCGGGGCTAGCAGCCACTTGAGGGGGAGGAGCGGGGCGGAGCAAGTCTCGCGAGGCCGCGCCCTGGCTCGCGCGGGTGTAGTGCCAGAGGCGGGAGAAAACAGGCGCCCTGTGAGAGACGTGCGTGTGCGCTCGCGTGGTCATGGAGGCGCCACCACGGCCAGAAGCAGTGATGACTCCGGTCCTGGGCTGGAGCCGAAAACTGCTGCCACTGCTGGTCTTCCTGCTGCACGTTGGGGCTCTGCGGGGCTTGGAGACAGAAGAGAGGCCACGGACCCGCGAAGAGGAGTGCCACTTCTACGCGGGTGGACAAGTGTACCCGGGGGAGGTGTCCCGGGTATCCGTGGCAGACCACTCCCTGCACCTAAGCAAAGCCAAGAGTAGGTGGTGCCCTGCCGGGTGGGGGGAGCCTGGAAACACGTGGACACTGCTCTCTGAGGCTGTGAAGGTGGGGGGCTGGGTTGGGCCGGGCGTTCCCCCTGGGCTGCCTCCAGGCCTAGACCCTGCTTGCTTTTCCTAGAGGACTAGAGGATGGAGGTGGGGGAGGTGGGTTCCAGTTGTGAAGAAAACGATGGGTTCTACTGATCAGATTTTGGAAGAGTTAGTGGTTACCCCAAAAGCCACAAATGAGGCAAAGAAAGTGACCCTATCGGGATTGCAAGCATTGAGGGTGTTGTGCAAACAGAAACAACTTCCTGGAGCATCGTGAAGTGTCTTGCAGCACGTTCTCTTTTCCTCTTTTCCAATACTCTTTCGGGCAGGCATGCATTGAATGGCTGAATAATGATTCACAGAAAGTTTGATTAAACAGAAAAGTGTTGAAACAGTATGTTAAGTCAAATATTTCGTTTTTCTTTTCTTTCTTTTCCCCTGTTGATGTTGCTTTTTATAAAGAAGACTTATGAGCCATCCTCCCTAAAAGCTGAATAGTTCATTGGTATTTGTATTTCTGCAAATGGGTTATAGAATGTACTTTGGAGGGAAATGGGGGGGAGGAGGAAGGAGATTGGAAGTTAGCACATCTGGGTTGATGATAAATCCCGCAGCATATTTTTGTCCTGCCAGTTTGGCTTTTGATTATTTGCATTTCTGTCCAGTGTACAAAGCTACTGGCCACTTGCAGGAAGGACACGTCAGACTAAGTAGATAAGGAGAAAGCTGTGGCTTACTTCATCTGGACATTAAAGATAGCCAAAAAGAAGTGACCAGGAGAAGATACAAATAAAGACCATCCCCTTGATTGCTTTTGCCTAACCTACTTTTCCTACAGATCATTTGACATTCAGGTGTGTGCTTGGCTTTTATGGTAGTCACAGCACGTTTTGTGTCAGTATTCGATGGAGAAAGTAATGCTTTTCCACTAGGAATCTCCAAAGATAGATGGGATGTGTTTCTAAAAGCTAAGGAGAGGTGGAAATGATGGAGAAAAAATGCCTTCTTAAACGTTCAATTTTAGAAAGCAGTCTTGTACTTCAAAAGTCAGTATTTCCCAGTCCCATTGTTTTTAGTTGCCTGGAAAAATATTTTGAAATACACTAGCCAGTTAAGTTTTTACTGATACTGTATGTATTTTCCATAGGAAACAAATTCACTCCAAAGTTGCTTATGTAGGCAAGTTATTATAATAGGTTTCCCTGTACCAGAAAACTTTTTCATTGAACTATTTTCTTTTTTTTTTTTTTTTAATCGGTACTGGAGATTGAACTCTCCACCGCCTGCTTGCAAGGCAGGTGCTTATGCTGCTGAGCTAAATCCCCAGCCCAGAAAACTTTTTCAAATGTTATGTATTTGCTATATCAGTGTCAATGTAGACTCATAAAATTAGAAACATAAGGCCTTTTATTCATAAAATGGAATATTATAAAGCCAATAAGGCTATGTTTTCAAATCATCTTTAGTAACATGAAAAACTTCATACTTTACCGTTTCCTTTAAGAAAATTTAAAAAAATAAATAAATTAGAAGGACAGGGACATGATCTTGGATGTTTAAAAAAGACTGGAAAATATCTAAGTATTAATAGTTTTTAATGTCAGGCATGGTGGCACATGCCTGTGATCTTAGCACTCAGGAGGCTGAAGCAGGCAGATTGCTAGGAATTGGAGGCCAGCCTGGGCTACATAGTGAGTTCAAGGCCAGCCTGAACTACCTAGCAAGACTCTGTCTCAAAAAATGGTAAATTGGTAGGTGTTATAAAGGGATTTAAATATTATTCTTTATATGTCTCTGCATTTACCAGAATCTGTGTTAATTAATATTAATTAATTTATATTCAGGACAATTTTTGTTTCTTTTTAATAGATAACATTGCTTTTGGAATTCCATTTATAGATCTTAGCAAAGTGACTGCAATTTTTAAGAACCAAAATTATGCCTAGGAAAGGTGGCACACGCCCGTAATCTCAATACATTGGAGGCTGAGGCAGGAGGATTGATGTGAGTTCCTGGCTAGCCTGAAATGCACAGTGAAACCCTGTCTCAAAAAGACAAAAAAAAAGAACCAAAATCTCCAAAGTCAATTTTTTGAACAAAATTTATTTCCTGGCATAATTTTCCCAATATATTAAAATCTTTAAGGTCTGTCATTGTTACAGATCATTAGAATTATTGTAACCTCTCATGGAGTAGCATTTAAGATATATATGTATGGTGTTTAATACCCTTCTGTCTAATTCTCCCTCCTGTCCTTTACCTAATCAGATAAGGATTATTTTTGAGTTAGGGGCAGACTCAGGATAAGTAATCACGTTATATATGAACTTCACAGAGAAATTCATTTTCAGTTTATTCCTTTTTGGAGTGACCACAAATGCTAGCTGTTATACAAAAGTATAAGTTATTTTCTAGTAACTGTAGTCAAACTTGGAAGCAAATATTGACTTCAGTGTATGTAATGGTTCTGAAATTATAAATGCATTAACAGCACAAAGCTATATTATTCTCAGAGGGTGTTGGCTAGAATTACAGTATGCCCTTACTAGAGAGTAGCACTAACTATTCAGTTTCCATCAGGTCATTTGAAACCTGTTCAAGGAGGAGGTCTCTTTTTTCTAAGCCCTTTAGGAAAATTATCCCATGGACTAGGAATGTATATTTGCACATTTTTTCCTCCTGTAGGGTAGCCGGTCTGAGGCAGGTCCTCCCTTGTGTACATGAGAAACTGGACAAACTAAATTAGTACATAGGGAAAACTGCCATTACAAACTCATTATTTAAAATATAGAAGTTGATAACTTGAGGCTGTATAATGAAGTATCCAACAGGTTTCCTGCAGGCATGGAGTGTAGGGGGTGAGCCTGGATAAGGAAGAGGGCGTTTTTACCCAAAATGAAATTGAGCGTGTCTTCTCCTTATGGACATCGGCAGCGAAGCCCCACTAGCTTCAGCTGCACTCGCTTTTTATCTGTAGAGAATATGCTCACAGATACTCTCATGCTGTGTTGTAGTTACAGCAGTTGTCCTGAAACATTGCATCTACTCACCATTATCTTAAGTAAGTCATTAGATCACTGCCAGATCCCGTAGTTTCAAAGTGTTAACAAAAGAACACACGAATTGCTGTATCACTAATTTAGGTTTTATAATATTTTGATGATTGCATTTCAGTGTAATTGCGTTCTGTAATTCTCTGTACAGTATTTTATGAATTCAGTAACATTTAAGTTGTCAGAAGTCTTTGAGCTTCACCAGCCTACCATTGAAATCTGAGGGTGTAGCTCAGTGGTAGTACATTTGTCTAGCATGCACAAGGCCATGGGTTCAATCCCTAGCACCACCAAAAAAAAGCTTCATGCCATCATCAATATTCACAGTATCACAGAACATCGTGTCTTTTTCTTTCTTAGTTTCCAAGCCAGCACCTTACTGGGAAGGAACAGCTGTAATAAATGGAGAATTCAAGGAGCTGAAATTAACTGATTATCGTGGGAAATACTTGGTTTTTTTCTTCTACCCACTTGATTTGTAAGTAATACATGTAAATAGCGGCTCATGAAACCGCATTCTTTTATCATTCATTATTCAATAACATCAAATGGTGAGAGATTTTTATTTAGCTGTTGATTCTTAAAAAGGCAAGCTGAAATAAGGAATTTGTTTTTTAAAAAAGATAGCATTTTAGATGGAGAGTGGAGTTGGCAGATAGGAAGGATTTGAGGTTAACAGAGTAAGAGATGAGAGAAAAAATCTTAGAGATTTCCCAGGACTTGGAATTAAGATGAAAAAGAGGGGTACTTGGAGAAAACCTTGAAGTGATGAGAGAAGCAGAAAACAAAAAAAAGTCAAGGGAGACAGTTAAAGAAAGATGGCCTCGGGCAGGTTGTGATGGTACATGTCTAGAATCCCAGCACTTGGGAGGCTGAGGCAGGAGGTTCACCACTGAGTTCAAAGCCAGCCTGAACTACACAGGGACATCTTGTCTCAAAAAAAAAAAAAAGTCCACAGTGCTAAGGCTATAAAGATTTCAAAATGGAAGAAAGGTTTTGATTTAACACATTTTGTTTAGAAAGTAACATTTTTAAGGCAGACTTGAAGTCCCTGTGCTAAATCTTTAGTGATATTTTCTATAAAATTTGATACTTTGTGAAAACAGCATTTTATAACATGTTGTAATACAGTGTCATTTATGTCACTGGATTAGAGATTTCTGATTAAAGAGGAAATAACTATGGCCATCTTAAAAGAGAGATCTTATAAATATTTCAATTAAATATTCAATTAGATAATTGAAATATTTCAATTAAAAATTACTAATAAAAACTCTTACTGTAGAGAAAAGATAACATCTACCATGTATTTCAGAGTCATAACCCATTGACCTCTGTCTCAGTACATTATACTTAAGATCTATGTGATTGTGCTTTCTGAGTTCAATCTTCAGTGTAAGAAAGAAGGAAGGGAAGGAAACAGAAGGGGAAGGGAGGAGAGAAAGAAACCTGCCTGATGTACAGTTATTTCTCAGCACTAGCTGTTCAACACAAAATCCCAGCCCGAGTGAGGAAGACCCATGCTTGCTAGACACTTAGGTATACTGGTAGTGGAGAAAAGTTCTTTTATTTCTTTAAAGTGTTTGTTGGAATTCAGTTTAAGGAGTCCCTACCAGGCGTTGAAAAATACCGCCCTACGTAATAGTTGTTAGACATGTGCTTCTGATAGCATGATGGTATTGGTATAAAACCCCTGCTACACAAGGTGGGAGAGGACCTATATTATGTAGGAGGGTTGGGAGATTCCTAGAGAACATCACCTTATTCCCAAAGCGTAGGTAGCATAGCTGGGCATGGTGATGCACACCTGTAATCCTAGGACTCAGAGGCTGGGGCAGGATTACCATGAGTTCAGAGCCAACCTGTACTACTGAACTGCAGAGCAAGATCCTGTATCAAAACAAGCAAAAAAAAATACAAGTTAGATGCATCTAGCTCAGAAGACTAATAGTACAGGAATATATAAAACAATAGGAAATGATGTAAATTTGTAAAGCCATAAAGCCAGTCAAAATGAGAAGGGAAGAGGAAGTAAAAAGAATTAAGATACGTTCTATGCATGTACCAACTCTCCATAATGAATGTAATCATTATGTACTACAAACATATACTAATAAAAAGATCAAAAAGTGCTAATAAAATTGGAATACGCCTATAAGAGAGAATATTGGTTGACCTCTGAGTTTATTATTGAGCTATAATTGGAAACTCTGTAATATACGTTTATTAAATATTTGATCAAATGACAGTCTTTTAAGACAATTTCATCTTGAGAAGCCCCATATATAAAATTGTTCTTAGGGTACATTTTTATATAGTAAAAGTGTTTGTAAAAAATTAAGTTGTTTGAACATTCAGCTGTATTCTTGTTTTAGAATATTGAACTTTTTTTTACCTTTCAGCACATTTGTGTGTCCAACTGAAATTATCGCCTTTGGTGATAGAATCGAAGAATTCAGAGCCATAAATACTGAAGTGGTAGCATGCTCTGTGGATTCACAGTTCACCCATTTGGCTTGGTCAGTATTTTACACTGAAATTTGTGTAAAAAATGGATATATTTCCTTCTAAATCATGGGCAGATAACTCAAATGTGATAATGCCATTTATCAGGCAGTTGGGGAATCGATTTATTTGAGAGCAATATAATGAGTTGCTAGATCAATATAGTTATGGTAAAAATGCTTAAATGTTTTATCCATCTTTTCAAAATTGGGAAGGATTAAATATAACAGATATGATTTCCACAACAAAAACTACTAGATTGTATGATTACTTTATTATGATCAATTGAATAACCTTTCTCTGGAGGAAAAAAATCTTTAAAATATACTATTTTCTGCTGTTCTTGGGAATGGTAAGTCAGACCCACAATACCTTGTATACTTTTCAAGAAAGAATAATTTTTAAAAGTAATTATTGGCCAGAGATTTAGTTCAGTGGCATAAATGCCTGCCTGGAAAGCGTGAGGTCATAAGTTCGATCCCTGTACCAAAAAAAAAAGTAATTCTTGTTTAATCATGAAAAGATTTTTCTACCTGCTTATAAAAAATTGCAAATCTGAATGACAAGAGATTATAGGACTTTATCACAGTCCTAGCGCCTGATTGAGTATTTTTGGCACTCAATCTGAAGCAGGACAGAGAAAATGAAAGAGATAAGGAGACAAAAGTGGAGGCCTTTAATTTGGGCATGGCAGAGCTTCACAAAGCAGGGAGTATAGAGGCTTTCAAATGAGAACAAAGAAATGGGACTACTTTTATCAGCTTTGGCTGGGGGAGGAGTTTGGGAAGTGGGCAACGTGACATATTAACCATTGATTTGAAGGAGCATCTGCCTGTGTAAAATAGGAGACAGAAAGATTTATTGGGGGTTAGAGGTGGAGGCTTCGGTGGTTGTGGAGTCTTAGAATTGGAGAAGGCTCAGTGCATGCGCAAAAAGGGAGTGGGAGGTTTATCTCTGGAATGAGAAGGAGAACATAGAAGTTACTCTTAGAGAGAATAAGAGTCAGTTCTCTGGGTCCAGTACCAAGTTGGGAGGATGTAGCTAAACTCCAGGCTAGCAGAACCTATCAAGGCATTTCTCACTGTCTGACTGAGCAAGATTTGAAAGTTGAAAAGGAAGTAAAAAGAATTGAGATGTGTTATGTACATAAATTAGCTCCCCACAGTGAATGTAATCATTATATACTACAAATGTAGTCAAAAAAAATTTTTCTCTCACTTTTTTTTTGTCTTATTCCTTTTTATCAGTTCCAGGGATCGAACTCACAACTGCCTGCTTACAAGGCAGGTGCTTATGCCGTTGAGCTAAATCCCCAGCCCCCCCCCCCAAAATTTTTTTAATTGATAAAAATGCTTCTAATGTTGGCAAAAATTTAAAGAATGGCATTTATACACAGCGCTTCAGCATTTCAGGAGAGTAGTTCAGCAAGGTGTATCAAAGTTTATATATATGTATGTAAGTTTTTATTGGTGTCCATAATTTTTTACTTATGATTTTGTGCATAATAATCATTCAGAATTCTTTTGGAGTTAAAGCTTAATGTTTAATTCATTAAAGTTATAAATTCAAAATAAATTTTTTCTATATAATTGTATATACATACATACACATATGTGAGTGTATATAAAAACTTTGATTTGTTAGGGAACTGCAATTTCACTTGCTTAAGAAATTAACTACTGGACAGGATGCAGCTCAGTGGTAGAGCACTTGCCTGACAGACACAAGGACCCAGAGTATAATCCCAAGCATCACATGCACACATGCACAAAAAAAAAAAAACTAATTCCCTTTTCTCAGTTTTCACCTGGCATGGTGGCACATACCTATAATGACAGCACTTTGGTAAGCTGAGACAACAGGATCTCAAGTTCAAGCCCAGCCTGGGAAACTTAGCAATTTAGCAAGAGTCTATGTCAAAATAAAAAGTAATCTATAAAAATTTTAGGAAAGACCCAACCCTAATACTCCTCAAACTCTTTAATGAAATTGAAAGGGAAAGAGTACCTACGAAGTCATTCCTGGAAGCTAGCATTACCCTGATTCCAAAACCAGAAAAGGACATAAACAAAAAAGAGAAGTATAGGCCAGTCTTTTTAATGAACACACACACACACACACACACACAAATCCTCAAGATACTGGCAAACAATGCAATGGATCATCAAAAAGTTCATACATCATGACTAAGTAGAATTCACCCCATGAATGGAGAGATACATAAGCATACACAAATCAGTAAATGTTGTAGATCACATAAATGGAAGCAAGAACAAAAATCACATGATCATCTCTGTAGATGCAGAAAACCCCTTGGTAAGGCCTGGCATTGTGATACAGTCCTATAATCCCAGCACTTGGGAGCCTGAGGCAGGAGGATCGCTGTAAGTTTGAGGCCAGCCTGGTTATAAAATGAGTTCAAAGTCAGCCTGAACTGCATAGTGAAGCCACGTTTCAGAAAGACCAAAAAAAAAAAAAAAAAAAAAAAAAAATGGCCCGGGATTTAGCTCAGCAGCATAAGCACCTGCCTGGCAAGTGTGAGGTCATGAATTCGATCCCTGGTACCAAAAACAAAAAGAAAAAGTCATTGATAAAATCTAACATCCATTCATGATAAAAACCCTGAAGAAAATAGATATAGAAAGACCTTATCTCAATCTGATAAAAGCCATTTAAGACAAACCTACTGCCAATATCATTAAATGGGGAGAAGCTAAAAGCTTACCCTCTAAAATCAGGAACAAGAATAAGATGTTCATAATCACCACTTCTGTTCAATATAGTTCTCAAAACATTAGCCAGAGCAATCACACAAGAGAAAGAAATTAAAGGGCTATGTATAGAAAAGGAAGACATTAAATTTTGGTTTGCAGATGACATGATCCTCTCCATACAAGACCCAAAACATTCCCCCAAAAGACTCCTAGAATCAAAAACCAAATTCAGTAGGTATTTTAGTTACTTTTTTCATTGCAGAGATAAAATACCTCACACCCAAAATTATGAGAGGAAAGTTTCATTTGGCTCACAGTTTATAGAGGGTTCAATCCATAATCAGCTGGTTCCAAGGCAGGGTGGCATATGGGAGACAGGCGTCAAAGAGGAGGTTACTATTGCTTAATTTCTTGATGATAGCCATTCTTTCGGACTATGGATTAAACCTTCTACAACTGTGGGCCAAATGAACCCTTTCTACCTTAACTTGGCATGTCGGGTATTTTGTCTCAGCAACAAGAAAAGTAACTAACACAGAATTTGGTACAGTCATTTGCTGTGACTATACCTGACCATGAGGTTTAGAAGCCTTTAGAGCTGGCTTGTGGGAAGGAGGAAGCATTAGGAAAGGATTGGAGATGCTGGCTGAAAAAGTGGAGCTGGAACCTCTTAGGTGGTACTTGATGGGAGATTCTGGTCAGAGCTTAGAAGACCAGAAGGCTGATAGAAATCTTGCTGGTAAGGACCAGGCCCAGGAGGCTTCTGCTGGGAAGAAGGACTGCATTGGTTGTTGGACTCCAGATGATGTGTGCTATGGGTTGACAGAAAGTTTGTGTGCAGTTTGCTCATGTCCAGACACTTTATCTGAGATTGAGATTAAGGGTGGCAAACTAATTAATTTGGCAAAAAAAAAAATTCAAGACAGTCTAAGGTTGAGGTGGTAACATGGCTATGATGGGAGATTTTAGCAAGATCTATGTTGAAAATCAAGAGTAAAGAGCTTAGCAGAATGCTTTAAAACACTGTGAATTTGGCCAGAAAGGAAGCATTAGTAAAATGTGGAATGCAAAGATAAAGCAGAGATTGCTAGGAAAAAAAGGAACCCTTCTGCATTGGTGGTGGGAATATAAACTTGTATAATCATTATGAAAATCAGTATGGAGACTGTTAAAAAAAACTAAAACAAGTTTCATTTGACCCAGCTATTCCTCTTCTAGATAGCTTCATGAAAAAAATTAAAGACACGTTGCAGTGATACATGCATACCCATGTTTATAGTGGCACAATTCACATTAGCTAAATCTTGGAAGCAGCCTAGATAACCATCAACATATGAATTGATAAGGAAAATGTATTTGTACATAATGAAGTACTGCTCTGCCATAAAAATAAATGACTCATTTATAGGAAAATAGATGCACTTCAAGGCCATAATGTTAAGAGAAATAAACCAGACACACAAGTTGAAATGTCACATGGTTTCTCTTATATGAAAAAACATGAGCTGGGAGAGTTCAAGGCCAGCCTGAACTGCATAGTGAAACTGTCTCAAAAAGACCAAAAAAAAAAAAAACCCAGTACCAAAAATAATAAAACAAAACAAAAACCCACCATAATATAAATATAGAGCTAATAAAAGATAGAGAGTAAGAAATAGCTAGACAGATGTTTTGCATATGGGAAAGGAACCAAGAGATAGAGATGAGGAAAGAATTATGGTGCGTTATATATATGTACCAATTCCCCATTAGAAATGTGATCATTACATAGTACACATATGTATTCCTTAAACAAAAAAAAGCAAAAAAAAGGCTGGAATGTAGCTCAATTTAAGGGACCTGGTTCCATCCCCTCCCCCAAAAAAGAGAATATCTCAGTTTTCAGACAAAAATTTCAAATATTTAATTCCAGTAAGATAAACTCATGAATGTTAAAAGTAACTTAATATACAAATATTGACTCATCAGTTTGTAATACAAAAAATATTAAAACTAGGCTTATTTGTATCACTACTACTATGATTCTAAATCTTCATAGCATTAAAATATGTCTACTAGGAAAACTGAGGTCATCTCAGATAATTTGGGATCACTTTCGAGAATCTGGGGCTTGGTTCTCAGCTAAGTAGGTTTCATATCCACCAAGACATCTGTGTACTTAGATGGCAGATCCAGGACTGCAGACAGCTAGGACAGCATTGCCCTGGTCTCTCCATCCTGTGTCAGTGCCCTCTTTGGGCCGAAGCCCACAAGTTCTGTGGCCTCAGTTTACAGAACACTTCATTCTGAGGATGATGACTAACTTTTTCCACCTCTTCCCAATTGCATTTCTTTGTCTCACTAAATATTAAAACGTCTCCGTTCATACCCTGCCTGTCTCTCAAGGCTTTGTCTTATGATCATGTTTCTGAAGTTGTAAGTTATGCTGTTGACAGTGTATATGTCAAGTCCTCGTCTGGGAATTAGACAGGCATACAAGGATGTCTCTATGCTAACAGTTTACTGTCTGTCAGTAGAGATACACAAAATACAGTATGTCCATTCATTAAAATGTATTTTCTGTACCAATATTTAGTGCGTGAAAGAGATGGACATATTGTTAAGTGGGTAAAAGAAAATCAGTCATAAGCAATTAGTCTGTCTGTGTTAGAGAAAGACTGTATATATGTGTATCCACATATGTGCAGAGGAAGATTGCTGGCTGTTTTAATGCACACTGTTTACTCAGTTTTGAGAGAAAGTGTTCTGTGTGTTACAGGATTAATACCCCTCGGAGACAGGGAGGACTGGGGTCGATAAAGATCCCACTTCTTTCAGACCTGAACCATCAGATCTCCAAGGACTATGGTGTATATCTGGAGGACGCAGGCCACACCCTGAGGTACTTTTCTGTGGTTTATATTACGAAAAACCCAAATACACTTACAGTCCTCTGGAACTGAATGCTATTTCTAAGTTAAAAGATACAAATTTTGATCAGGAAGTATTATTGCTTCACTTGGCAGAAATGTTGTAGATGAGAACATGACCAGTGAATGCCCTAAACAACACTATTAGAGCTGGAAGGCTATTTAGAAGTCTTTGACCAACTCTGTCTTTTTACAGATAAAAGAGACAGATTCCGAGCCAAGCATGGTGGTACACACCTATAATCCCAGCACTCAGTAGGCTGAGACAGGAGGATCACTTAAAAGTTTGAGGTCAGCCTGGGCTACATAGTGAGTTTAAGGCCAGCCTGAACTATGTAGTAAGACCCTCCCCCAAAACATGAAAATAATAATAGTCATACATACAAATAAATATATTTAGCAAGACTGTACCCGAGGAATGGGATAAATTAAAGCAAAATCTTTTTTAGTTGGGGGAAAGGTTGAGACAGGGTTTGCTATATAGTTCAAGATGGCCTTGAACTGACCGGGGAGCCCAGGCTGGCCTCAAACTCATGGCAATCCTCCTGCCTCAGCCTCCTGAGTGCTGGGATTATAAGTGTGTACTATCACACCTAGCTGAAGCAATATCTTAACTGGCAGATCTCACTGGGTTATTTGAGCTAACAAATGCCAACATAATTTTTTTTTTAAAAAAAAAGATAGTTTTAGACTAATAGAGTCATAATTTTGTTATGATTCCATTTCTCATTTACTCTGTGGGCCAGTAGTTTCTTTAAATGTTTCATGTGAAAGTGTCAGTATTTTAAATCCTGTTTTTATGACAGCTTTATTCAGATACAGTTCACATGCCATACAGTTCACTTACTTAAAGAATATAATTCAGTGGCTTTTGGTACATTCATGGAGTTGTGTAATCAACGCCAGAATTTTAGACCATTTTCATTATTATGGAAAGAGTAGTCCTCCTTCCCAACCCTTCCCTCAGCCCTAGGCAGCTGTTCGTCTCCTCTGAGCCTGTGTGATAGAGTGGCACCCTGCAGCACATGCGCTTTGGTTGTCAGCCTGCTCACTCAGCTGTGTTCAAGGCCTGTCTGTCCTGTGTCATGCTGCTGTTTCTCTCTTTTGTACCTGCCAGGTCCCTCAGGGTTTCTCATTTCATTAAGTGTTACGTGTTACTAGATTAGTTCCCAAAGAGTGAGGATATCACTAAAAGGACTGACACAGTTTTAAAATTTGGAATTATTTGAACATTGACCACATAAAATTAATACTGTTTTTAGTTATTTGAATCTTATTTGAATTAAGTTTCTCTTTCAAACCATTCTGATTTCCAAAGTAGTATACATAGGGTTTTTCAAGTCACATAATCTTAAGCAACTGTAAATATTACAGTATATTTCATAGCTAAAACCAATTTGAAAGCCACCTTTGCACAGGGATCATTCCAGATCCCACAGCCAATGGGGGCAGAGGGTACATGTGCTAATACACAGGAAGCCTGCTGTTGGTTCTATGTAGCATCCCTCCATGTGAATGGTATAGGGATTCACATTAACTAATACTTGTCTTAACTCAGAAGCAGTAGCCTCACATCTGCCATGCTTGTGTTTCACAGAGGCCTCTTCATCATTGATGACAAAGGAATCCTGAGGCAGATTACTCTGAATGACCTTCCTGTGGGCAGATCAGTGGACGAGACCCTACGTTTGGTTCAGGCGTTCCAGTACACCGACAAACATGGAGAAGGTACCCTACCACTTCATAGCATGGCAGATAGTAGAATAGTTAGTTTGGATTCTCATCCTGAAAGTTATTTGGAAGATTCTAGTCATTTGACTGTTTTCAATATTGGATCCTTTCAGCAAACCAAAGTATTACTTAAAAGTGCTTTCAACAGTATTTCACTATTGTGCTTTCTGGATAAGAAGCAGAAGTACTTAGTATTACATAGTCATTTTGGATAAGCTCAAAGAAAAAAGTCTGTGCTATAATTTTTCAAATCATGTTTCTATGAACTTATAATGTGCCAATACTAATGTAGGTTTCATTTGCCCATTTACATTACTGGATTTTGCTTTTTAAGTAATGGAACCTTTGTGGTTACTCAGTTTCACACTGGTAATCTATGAATTCATCCTTCCACTCCATGTTTTATCAGTAGCTAAAAGGAAACAGTGAAATTTTGCTAAAATAGAACATGTATATTCCTTTGAAAAACACAACTCAGCGCCTGAGACAGGGTGCATCCTGCAGTCTCTTGACAGAAGAGCGTTGTTATGGGTACAAAGTGCCGCAGGATAGGAGACGGGCTTAGGAAAGTTGGTGTAAATTCAGAGGAGTGGTTGCTGTGCCTCGCCTTTTCAGCTCACGAGATTATCACACTTCCTAGCTTTGCTGCAGAGGAATTCCACCTAGTTTCTCATATTGAAAATGTAAATAGCAAAACAATGGATAGATAAGAGGTAACAGGGAGATAGATCCTTCACCAAAAGAAAGGTGACTGAGAACCAGGGAGAAGAGGGGATAAAAAGAAGATTAAGATGTGTTATGGACGCATGACCCAGCCCGCGGGTCAATCCGCGGGGTAACCACCTGGAGGAGGAACGGGGATTAACAAAGACAGGGCAAGAGACAAAGAGAGACAGAGACAAGTTGAGGAAGTCCAATCAAGTCTCGTTTATTGAGAAAGTGGTCGCAGCTTTTATAGGGCAAGGGCGGGCCAGTGGGACAGGAAGAGGCTAATCAGGAGTATGGCAGGCCCTGTGAGGACAGTGCCTGTCTTGGGTCAAGAACCTCTTTACATGAACCCAGCTGGGCCTTACCCGTCATGGGCTTGCAGGACAGCAGTTGGTCCTGTGCCTGTCTTAGGCGGCCGGTGATGTAGCATGTATGTCCTAGTTGCCCATCTCTGGCTGCCTGTCCATTGCCCCAGGGCAGTTAGGCCACGTCATCATTTGGGCCACTCATGGGAATTCTTTCCTGGTAGGTTTGTTGATCTGCCATCTCCAGCTGGTGGTAGTGTACCTGAATTGGCTTTGCCATAAACGCCTCTATCCGGCTATTAACAAGTGTCATGATCCTCTGAAAAATACAAGGACCCACAGAGAGGAGAAGCAACAAGGCAGCTAGGGGCCCCAGGAGGGGCGCTAGGTAGGGGAAGAGCCCTCCCCAGAGTGTGGAGAAAGGGTTTAGAGGCCATCTGTTGTCTTTTCAATTTGAGCCACTCTTCAATTTCTTGAAGTTTTCCACGTACGATGCCGGATTGGTTAACATAGAAGCAACATTTTTTCTGTAAGGCAAGACAAATTCCCCCCTGTTCTGCAGTTAAAAGGTCTAGCCCTCGTCTGTTTTGGAGGACCACCTCTGCCAATGAATCTAGTTGATCTTGGAGGATCCGTAAGGTGGCGGACAAAGCCCGGACATCTTCTGACAGCTGGTTGGAGATCTCATTGTACTTATCTAGGGTGACACCCAATCCAGCTATACTGGTGGCCAGTGCCCCAGTGACACCCATTCCTATCAGAAGTGGGACAAGAGCCACCACTCATTTTTGGTGGCCAAAGATGTAGGTAAATTCTGGTATGGGTATAGGCTCTTGTCCAGGAATTATATCAATATCAGGCAAAATGGCAGCTAGCATACATATTCCTAACCAATTGGATGGGAGAAAAGGGTAAGCCAGATTGGCCCCACATATAAACACTTGTCCCGGGGGGGAAGAGGGGCATAAGGGATCAGTGTAATAGGCGGTTTGAGAGCAATTGGGGAACGTGAGGGGGCCCACATCAATGATGGATGAGTCATTTTTAAGGGATCCCTGGATACATGGGACAGATAAATTGGTCATTCCCACCAGCTGGACAGGAAATGGCTGAGCAGGTGTACAGGTAGGGGGGTCTCCTAGGGGGATAGGTGTTGAATTGGAGGGGATAGCTATTGGCATGGGGGTGCCTAGTGCCATGCATAGTCAGCAGTCTTTAGCCAAGTTAGGGTTAGAGATAAAATTAAGTACCTTTTGAGTGGCTAAAAGGATGGCATAAGTTTGTGGGTCTAGGTCCACTCCCCGAGGTTTGGGGAGTGCCAATGGGTGGTAATTGATCTTTGGGAATAAGCTATCATTTTTTGTAGTTGTTGATTGACAAACTCTTGTCTAATTTAATCTTGTGGGCCGCCTCCATCAGATACATGGATGGGAGCCTGTGTAGCGCAACACATGGATGCTCCTAGGCTACCAGTGCAGCCTGCCTGTTGATAATGGTGATGGGAAGACAAAGGAGGGCGGAGGGCCACTCCGGGTCAGGGTGGCTGTGAAATAGATCTGGTTATTTGGCCCTACGCATTTAGAAACTGTTGTATAGCAGGAGGAATGCATAGCCTCTTCATAGGAGGAGCAAGAGCAGTTTGGCCTGGCTTGTGGGTCAATTGGCACTACCTGGCACTTGGGATGACATTGCCAGAGCCCTTGGGAATACTGAGTGAGGTTTAGGTGGGCTAGCTTGCTACCACAATCGACCGAGAGGGGGCCCTGCTTTTGTTTTGAGGGCAGTCCCAGACAAAGTGTCCCAATTGGTCGCATTTAAAGCATGTACCATTATTTTTTGGGGGCAAGAAAAATTCGTTTGACCATGGCGGCCATGGCTAGGCCCTGGTGGTAGGCGGGACCTATGTCAGTGCACAGGCGTATGTAGCCAGATAGATCCTCTTTCTTTTTATGAGGCCAGATTGCAGCTTGGCAAGCTGATGTTGCATTTTCATAGGTTAATTGCTTAATTAGAGCCGTGTCAGTTTCTGTGCTGCCAAAAAGGTGTTCAGCTGCCTGTACAAGGCAGTCGATGAAATCAGAGAATGGCTCTTCTGGCTTTTGTCTAATTTGGGTGAGGGAGGAGGTTACATCACCCCCCCGGAGGGAAATTTTCTCCAAGCCCTGGTAGCGGCTGCATTAACTTGTGCAAGGAGACCAGGATCATATTCCATTTGGGCCTCTTTGGTGTTAAAATCCCCAGTTCCCATTAACATGGGAAGGGTCCAGGGGTGTTGTCTAGTGGCATTATCTCTAGCAATATTTTCACATTGTTCCATAAATTCAGACTTCCAGAGCAAATAATTGCCCCTGGAGAGAGTAGCTTTAGCTAAATCCCTCCATTCATTTGGAATGATCCAAACTTGGGTCATAGAATCTAAAACAGCAAGAGTGAAAGCAGCTGTAGGGCCGCCACTGTGAATGGCGTATGGGTCCTGATGACCTGTGGTGCTGGTGGCACAGCGCTGTCTTGCGGCTGTGCGGCACCATCTTGGGGAGGCACATTTGTCTCCGTCACCGGAAACGGCATTTTGGGGAGGGGCCCACCCTGATGTGGCGGAAGTGAGGCAAGCGCCATTTTAGAAGCTGGCGCCATCTTAGGGGTGGCGTCCAATTGGCCCGTTTGTAAAGTTTGGAGTTGCAGAATGAGTCTTTGTTTTTCTTGTTTTAATTGGAACTGTTGTTGCAAGTCATGAAACTCTGACTCTAAGTCGAGAAGCGCAGTAGAGGGGCCAGACAATTTGGGTGTCTCATCGTAGCGAGGGGGTGGTTTTATGGAAATGGGGGCTACAATAGGGTCCAAGTGATGTCGGCTAGCTTCTTCTGCTAATTGTTCCCAATCGACCTCTTGTAAAAGAGCGAGGTCAGGATAGAGAATTGTGGTGGGCCTCGGGTGATAGGGGCTTGGGTGGCGGCAAGCTGCCATCTTGGAGCCTTTTTAATATATCATTTGCCTCCTTGTCGGAGGGGCAAGAGACTTCAGATTTGTCTCCTGAGGGGAGCGGTGTTGGTACAGCAGAAGTGCACAGGGCGGCTTCACCGTGGGTGATTGTTTCATCAATTTGAGGGTCTCAGCAGTGCTGTATAAGTAGCTCCAAGATTAGGTTCCAGTAGGCAAAGGCCATAACCGGGACCTTTTCAGGGCCAAAGACTCAATAGTAGGAGACCAGAGAACATGGCGGACAGACAACAGCAACTACCAGAGGCTCTCTGAAAGGTTCGGCTCAGAGGCCAGAAATAATGCGGACTAGGGAGACACGAATCAGTAGAGATATGCTCTGCTGACTCAGGAACGAACTGGGCTGAGAGAATCCAACTTGGAATACAGTCCTGGCGCTAAAATAGGAACAGAAAAATCTCGGTGTGGAGGCTCGACTCCGCGCCATCGGAAACCGGTTTGGATTTCCCGCCGTGCGGCGGCCGGCTATCTCCACAGCGGCTCAGCAAGGAGAGACGCGCCGAGCTCTGGGAACGGGAGAACGGAGTCGAAAAAAAAAAGGACGGACAGAGGTGTACACGAAAACTGACTGGTGGCGAGGTGAGTGAGAATCTGACCCCCCACCACAGTTTGACTCTAGCGGAGATCTCTCTGGGCGCCATTCCCCTCTCGGACGGGATTGGAGAAAAGTGCCTGGCCTGAGTGACGCTGCTGGCGGACTCTCTAGGCTAGACTAGCCTAACCCAGATCCCAGAGCCGGACGATGGCCCGGAGGAGCGACTGACTTCCTCGTAGGCTGCCTCCTCCGACTCCCTGGTGCGCAGCGGTGGGCGGGAACAACTAGCCAGCGCAATTTGATCAGGCTGTGGCTGACAGGCAGGGAAGCCGGGCCTCCTTTGTAAGATTGCATTTTATAAGGAACAAAAAATATGGGGAAGGGAAGCAACAAAAAAAGCTCCTCGGCCCCCAATCCTGAGAAACAGGCAATAATGGACGCCGCACCAGTATACATTAAGCACCATATTGAGAGCCTCATAGACCAATTCAGGAATGAAGTTATCAATGATCTGAAGCTAGAAGTATGCAGAATAGTTAGAGAAATGCTAAACACCACCCAGGAAAAAACAGATGGTGGAATGGAAGAACAGAAAAAGAGGGGAGAATTGCTTGATGGAGAAAACAGAGAAAGCATTGAGTATGTGAAGCAGGTTCAAAGGGACTATCAAGAAATTAATAAGTCTATACAAGACTGGCATAACAGCTTGAAAGAAACTAAGGACAGACTATCTGAACTGGAGGGCAGACTTGAAATATGGGAGAATGAAATGAAAAACTTCTTAAAAATAACAAAGAAACAAACAGCAATAATACAAAGACAAGAAGATGATAAGAGGAGCCACCACTTAAGGATTAAGAACATAGAAGAAGAAGTAGGGACACAAACAAATGAATTACAAAAGCTACTCACAGAAATAATCCAGGAGAATTTTCCTAATTTAGCAAAAGGTAAAGATACTCAGCTGTATGAGGCATACAGGACCCCAGCTACCTACAACCCTAACAGAGAAACACCCAGGCATATAATAATAAAAATCCCAGAAATTCAATACAAGAACAGAATATTAAAAGCTGTAAGAGACAAGAAACAGATCACTTACAAAGGAACACCCATCAGAATTACAGCAGATTTCTCTTCACAAACCATCAAATCACGAAGAGCATGGGGGGAAATAATTCAAGCTTTGAAAGATAATAATCTCCAGCCAAGATTGAGATATCCTGCACAACTGTCCCTGGAAATTGATGGAAAAACGAGGTGCTTCCAGGATAAAGAGGAACTGGGGGAATTTGCAACCACCAATTCAACTCTACAGAAAGTATTGCAGGATATTCTAAAAAAAGAAAAATACAAAGAACCCAGAAATAGTGGCAGGGAGGCCACAACGAATGGAGCAGAGAACAAAATGAAGAAGACAAACTGACAGCTACTGACAGAAAAAGAGCTCAACAGAAATGAGACAGAGAAGATTGGATGATAGGAACAGCTATTTTTGAGAAAATGACATCTTAATAGGTAATGCTGATTCAGTACCATCTTGTTTTGAAGTCTCATCTAGCTTTTGTTCTTCTGTCTCCAATGGTCTAACCAGGTTGTATCTTATTGGATTTTGTTATGTACGTTAGTATAAGCAAAAACCTTTTAAAGACAAGGAGATTATACAGAGACCATTGTTCATTTTCTGTTAGTCAATTCCAAATACTCTATAATGCTGTCATTCTCTTAAATGGTTTTACATTGTTTTGATATACTTAATGCTACAGTATATGAAGTTGTACTCAAGGACTTCAGGGAGGGAGTCAATATGGTAACTATTTTTAAGTCGGAAATATCTGGTGGTGAAACACTATTCTGCTTAAAAGGTTATGTTTTGATCTGCCCTGTTTCGCTGTTATGCCCTCTTTTTCTTTTTCTCAATCTCCACTCCATTATATACTTTTTTATTGTTATCCATTTAATTAAAGGGAAAAATATAGCAGGATATAATATAGTAACCCACTTTGACTTTCTATTTTCTCGATTTGAAGCCCTGTATTACTCTCACCATCTTGTTTTTGACTGAGGTTCCTCTATTCTGTTTTGCTGAATAGTATCAGGTTCGAAAGTTTAGGCATCAGCTGAGAAGATAATGAGATTCATTATAACGCCCATTCTCGTTGACTTCTATCTACTTTTGAAGACCTACAATATCTCCAATGTTTTGGTTTTGTCGGTTTTATCCTTTACGGTTTTGTTCAATAGTATTACAACTAACGATATAGGCAATTCTATTAGAAATAGCGGGAGGCATTAGGGTAACCATTGTTGATCACCTTGTATTATGTTTTTATATTATCTATTATATCCACCCTTTTGACTTGACCGATTCTGTTCTGTCATGTCACATTTGGTTTTACTCTCTTCCAAAAAAGCAATAAGAACAGTGGGAGCAATGAAACCCAAAATGTGTAATAGTCACTGTACAAAAGAGAGGAAAAGAAAATGCTCTAAACTATATAACTGCATGTATATTTAAATGTATAAGACAGAAAATGATATCACAGAGTTCTAATGGATCATTGAACAGAACTGTTTGCAGTATCATTGCTGGAATGTCCACTCTACAAACTTTAATTCTGTGACTTGAACAATTATTTCTAAGATGGCAATATGTAATCTATTAACTAGTGATTTCCTACTGCGCATTTTTTTTCTTCCGTAAATCTGTATAACTTGTACCCTTCACTGTTTTTTTTTCTTTTCTTTTCTCCTTAAATAAAAATTTAAAAAAAAAAAAAAAAAAAAAAGACTCAATAGTAATCTTTTAATGCATCTCCTACTCTTTCCCATCTTTTTGCATCAATAGAACCCTCTAAAGGGAACCAAGGGCAAACCTTATGAATAAATTGAAAATATTGTAGTAAATCTTTTTCTTTAGCCTTAATCCCTCTTGTCTTTAACGCCTTACTTAGGCCTCCCATGAAAAGTTTGTGATCACTTAATGCTTGACCCATGCCAGAAAAAAAGGGGAAAGGATCACTGTCCACTTACCGTGACTCAAGTGGCATGGCAGGCTCCCACGTAATGTTGGTCACAAAACTCTTAGTTTCCTTTTTACGCGTGTGTCCCTGGACGGCTTATTCATTGGATCCTCTGTGCCAGGTGCCCCACGATGGGCGCCACTTGACCCAGTCCAAGGGTCAATCCACGGGGTAACCACCTGGAGGAGGAACAAGGATTAACAAGACAGGGCAAGAGACAAAGAGAGACAGAGACAAGTTGAGGAAGTCCAATCAAGCCTCGTTTATTAAGGAAGTGGTCACAGCTTTTATAGGGCAAGGGCGGGCCGATGGACAGGAAGAGGCTACGGGGTGATCTCTGATGGGTCATCGTCATGTCCATGTACATGATGTGAGCAGGAGAGGATTATGGTTGATGTAGGTGCACTATGTGCCCATATAAGGGAGAGGCAGGGAGACAGCAGCGGGGTGGTCGCGCAGCTCCCTATAGACGCATACTAGTTCTCCGTGAGGAATGTGAACATAATGTACTACAAACACCTACTAATAAAAATTTTTAAAATAAAAATATAACTAAACATAACTGGTAAAAGTAGAAATAGATTAGCTACCTACTAATCAGTTCCATGACTAAAATTTCCTCATGTGAACAAGCAAGTAACAGAAGTCAAGTGCTAGCCAAACATAATGATTTGGTACTGTGGGATGCTGAGGTAGGGTTGCAAGTTTGAGCCTAGCCTAGGCAATTTAGGGTGATTCTGTCTCTAATAAAAAGAAAGGATTTGGTACTTGTACATCAATGCAGAGGTCCTGGGTCCAGTCTTCAGTACCTCACCCAAAAAACAGACAAGTGCTGGATAGTCTGGAAATGTTATTAATATAGTCTGTTACTTTCAGTTTGATAGAGAAACAAAAGTACAAGAATTGCTAAAGAAAACTATATTCTGTTGTTAAACTGTCTTTTGTCCATTTTTGTTCCTTTTAGTCTGCCCTGCTGGCTGGAAACCTGGTAGTGAAACGGTAAGTCATATTGATTTTTCCATTAAGGGTATTGGCTAGAGCCCAAAATACAGTATGCTGACTTTAGGATAAGCTTTCCTTGTCATAGAATTGTCTTGATTTCATAAGTGAAGTAACATTGGTAAGCCATGGTCTTACAGTACAGACATTCTCTGAACTGGAGGAAAAATGTATGAAACTGGAGAGCACAGAACATGAGGTTTGGTGCTATGAATTTTAAGGCTAAGTATCCAGGGAAATACACTCTTCCAAAAGACAAAAACAAAGGGCAGAGTGGAGACTTGGGAGACTATTTTATGGAATATCATCTGATTTTATGATCCAAGAAAACAATCACAACCAAACTTTCCTATATGTAGTAAAAAGCTCTTAAGAAAATCTGGTTTAAATAACATTGAAACTAATAATTCTCTCCTTGTCATGTGAAGAAAGAAAGCATTGAAACAGGTACACTATTTTAGGGATGCCATATAATTTACAGACAAACTCAAAAGTGGTCTCTGGCCAAAATGTAACTTGGAAACACACTTAAACATCCTTAAGTTGCTATCTTCTAAACTTAAAAGTTTTGAGGCTGAAGATACAACTCAGTGGCACAGTGTTTGCCTGGAAAATGCAAAGTTCCTGAGTTCAATTACCATTACCGAATAAATAATTATTGCTTTAAAAATAAAATCAAGGCTGGGCGTGGTGGCTCACGCCTGTAATCCCAGCACTCGGGAGGCTGAGGCAGGAGGATTGTTGCAAGTTTAAGACCAGTCTGGGCTACAAAGTGAGCTCAAGGCCAGCTTGAACTGCATAGTGAGACCCTGTCTCAAAAAGACAACAAACAAACAAACAAACAAAAAAGACAAAACAAAAAAATAAATAAATAAAATCAAAAGTTTTTGCCGGTATGGTGGTGCACTTATAATCCAGCACTCAGGAAGCTGAGGCATGATGAACTCTGTGAGTTCGAAATCAGCCTGAGCTATATAGTTCAAGGCCAGAATAAACTGCATAGCAAGACCCTGACTCAATACGTTGTATATTAACTAGAAAGTAACATAATGTGAAGTCAAGTCATATTAAAAATGTTAGTTTAAGGTTTCTAAGGCTATGATGCTCTTAAAATGTTCTTTTAGTATATTCATTCACTAATTGTTAAAGGTAATATCATTTCTGAATTCTTGGTTTTGGGGTGGTTTTTTTTTTTTTTTTTTACTCCCAAGCAAGAGTAGGTGTTACTCCAAAGCTGCGTGTGGTGGTGATGCCTGTAATCCCAGCACTCAGAAGGCTGAGGCAGGAGGATTGTTGCAAGTTTGAGACCAGTCTGGGCTACAAAGTGAGCTCAAGGCCTGCCTGAACTGCATAGTGAGATCCCATCTCAAAAAGATAAAAAAAATTCATTTGCTGTCCCCTTAGTGAACATGGCACTCCCTTTTCAGGCCACCATGATTTAATCAGCAAATGATTTTCCATATACATTAACATCTGTAGCCTTGCTCTCAATGTGTTTGATTTAACCAGATCAAACCCGAAGATGCCATGAAAGCCTGGTGGCCAAGAGAAGAGCTGTAAGTAAATTTTGTGGTGCTTGAGTACAGATGTTAATTTATGAAAATTATTTGCATTTTGGGACCATTGAGATTAGTAGGTAGGACAAATGTATTTTTGTCACTAGATGGGCAGATAATGCCAGACTACTAGTGACACACTTTGATTTTTAAAATGAATAATTTGCTTTTGTCTTGCTTTTGTTTTTAACAGATAATTCCAGATCCAGCTGGAAAACTGAAGTATTTTGACAAGCAAAACTGAAAAATACTTCAGCAAGTTACAAGGCTTTAGGGTCCTCAATAAAAGAAGTCACTGCATTGTGTTACAGTAGTAATTTCTTGGAGAATATAAAAAAGCCCATATCACACTCCACAGATATTTCCTGTTAAAGGTAGACAAGAGCTGTCAGATTAGATCGAAGTGGGAATGACAGTAGTAACTGACACAAAATGCATGCCATGGGCCAGGTGTTGGGTTAAACAAGTTAGATGCGGTTCCATGTAATCCTCAAGCAGCTCTTGGGGTTCTCTGTTGTACAGATGAGGAAACTGATGCTCAGATAGCTAGCAAAGGTGAAAGAGGACTATGTAGACAAGCTCCTTCTAGTTTCTGAGCTCTTCACACCCTACTGTGATTCACCTCTCCATACATTTCAGGATGGCCATAGAGAATGGGTTTGATCGACTAGCTCACTGCTGTGTCATAACAAACCCCTCTGGGCCCTTTTCAGATTTACATATTTAACTGACACCAAATTTGTAAGTACCAGGTTGTGTGTTTTTCATTTAAGAAATAAAAAAGTGAGCCCCTAAGTACATAGCTAGCTCCTAACATAGGGCCATCCACAAAGTGGAACTCACAGAAAATCCCTCTCCCTGGAGAAGGCCATCACTAGAAGTGGCAGGGCATTAACACCTCTGTAATGAAATAATTGTGACATAGGGCAGGTGATCAGTAAGGCATCTGTGGGTGGACAGAGATGGAACTGCCATTTATATAACCTTTCTATAGCAAAGTATGTTCTAAATGCTAGTGTACAGTCAAGAATTTAGAAACCAACCTATTAGTAAAGTTGACTACTAGTACTCTTGATGTTTAAATGGGTTTATCATCATCTACTAATCAGTACATTGGAGTTGGAATCCTGTTCTCAGATTTCTGTCCCTTATGTCATATCCAGCCCACTGGAATTAAGGCAGGGCAGTGTCAATCTAATCTGTAGACTGATCTAGCAATAGGTCACTCCTAATCCCAGCATTGCACACTATAGATTCAGCCATCTCTGAAAAGTCCTATGACTGCATGAGGCTTTGAGGGCACATGGAGACATAAACCATAACCAAAGTTAAGAATTGAATCTGTAGTCTTGATTCATTAACTTCAACCACTGGCCATGTGCACATTTAGTCAGGATATGAGAAACAGGAATTGCCTGGGAGGCTGAAGCAGAGGGATTGAAAATTTGAACGTTGCCTGGAAAACTTAGACAATTTAGCAGGAACCCTGTCTCAAAAAAAAGAAAAAGCATTAAAAAGGGCCAGAGCCCAGCATGAAGGCCCTGGATAGGAAGGGCTCTCCCTAGTACTGAGGGGTGAGTGGGGGGAGGGGAGGAGACTTTGCATTAAAAGGAAGACTGCACCAAAACCCAAAGGCCACAAGATGGCAGCCAGCACAAGAAAATCAGTGACTTTGCACATTCTTGAAGCCCTTTGAGGCTAAACAAAAAGAAAATCAACTCTTAAATGGCTTTTTTAAAAAATCTAACTTCAAAAAAAGTAAAACTTAAAAATTCAAAACTAAGTACAACTTAGGTAGGCATCATAATCTGTACTGAACATACTCTAAACTGAATTTGTACTGAATTTTTTGACTGTCCAAGTTAGAAGAATCTTTTATACTGTCACCTAGTACATGCACCATGCCCATTCATAAAAAGTGGCACACAACTCTTATTATTACTACCTATGATGCTGCATTCTGATACTTTTTCATGTTCATACTCATTCATGTTCATTTTGACCCACTAGTTACTAATTTCAAAGCCATAATCTGAAAATACATCTTGCTCCATATATACATACATATATGTAAAATCATGTCTATACTCAAGATACAGTAATGCCTGATGTGTGTAATTTTCATCTTATTACCATTGTGGTTTTGTCCATTTGTTTTATTCATATACTATTCCCTCTATCAATGGCACACGATTTCTGCAACACAAACAAACTCTATCTTTTCTTTGGTCGCTAAAGTCTTTTCTTTCCAGTGTATTAATTCTTTCACATCTCTGGGTTAATGAGTAGTTTTCACAAGGATTTGTTTTGTCTACCTAAGTTACTAAATTGCCCAGGTTGGCTTGAACTTGCAATCCCCTGCCTCAGCCTCCCAGAGCACTGGAATTACAAGCATGTCACACCATACCCACATCCAAATCCCTATTTTTAATTCTTCTCTATTGTTACCTGTTTTACAGTAAATTCATTATTTGTTACCAAAGAAGAGGAAAGAAAATAAGGCCAATTCAGAGTCAACCACAAAAGATAGTGAAAGTTTTACTTTACAAGAAGATTAAATGGCAAAAATATTTTAGCCATCCTTCTCTATTATGCTTGAGACCCAACCACATTACATATATGTATGTGCATGTATATATAAATATACATATATAAATATATATGCATGAAGTAACACTACCCTAACAGCAGAGAAAATATGTAAGAAATGTGGCAAAAGGGCAGGATTCTAGACCTCGTTTGGGCCTAACCCACTTAGACAGAGGGTTGGCTTTGGGAAGCTACTTTTCCTCTCTAACCCTCAGGCTCCTCACCTGCAAAATGTAGGTGACCATGGTATTGACCTCAAAGAGCTACTGTAAGAGATAACAAACTATAATGTCATTAGCACAGTATCGATATAGTTAGAATCCAACACATTAGTCTTAGAGAAAGTCTTACTTGATGCCGATCACATTGTATAACTGATTTTTGTCAAGTCTGTGCCACTTTTTATTAGCATACAAGTTACCACAAAGTTCTGTAACTGAACAATCTCAAATTCCAGATATTTTCATACTCATATTCATAGTATTAAATTTTAGCTTGACACTGAAAGAAAAAACATGTATATGTGTATGTGTATGTATATAAAACTAAAAATATAGATAAGATAGTTATATTACTGATTTCTCTGAGTTCACTGAAGAGAAAGACTTATCCTGGTATTGTTGAAACAATTGAATGCAGATGTCCTGTGCCCTGGGTGAATGATTTGGGGATGACAATGTGCAATATATGTACCAGTGCTGCCCCCTGAAAATAAATAAATTAAGTAATGAAAAAAAATTTAACTTGGCAGCACTCAAGAAGCCGAGGCAGGAGGACTGCAGTACATTAAAGGCCAGCCTGGGCTATGCAGTGAGTTCTAGACAAGCCTGGACTACATGTGAGACCTTGCCTCAAAATGGTAAAAATAAATGAGAGAGAGAGAGAAGAAAACAGAAGACAGCAGAGAAAATGCAGGCACCTGTGGGAATATGGGATTCCTACAGAAAGACTAATAGCATCATGAGGACACATTAATGTACAAAACTATGTTTAATGCTAAAACCAACTTCTTTCACCCTCATAGTATAATCATTGAATCTAGTGCCTCCTAGGCAAGTGCTCTCTCACTGAATTACCACCCTAGACCCTTTGGTTTTTAAAATTTTGAGCCAGGGTCTCACTGAGTTCCCAGCTTGGCTTCAAACTGAAAATCTTCCTGCCTCAGCCTCCCAAGTAGCTAGGGTGACAGTTGTGCACCACCATGCCCCAGTTTAGTGGACCAAGTGCTCCTAAAGAAACCAGAGATAAACCAGGAGGCTGAGACAGGAGGATCCCAAGTTTAAGCCAAGTCTGGAAATTTTAGCAACACCCTGTCTCAACATTAAAAGGGCTGGGGATGTGGTTCAATGTGAAGGCCCAGGGTTCAATCCCCAGTTCGGGAGGAGTGACAAAGAGAACAACTGTCAGGCCTTTCATCTCAGATACTTGACAGTCTGACCCAGGGGAGCCCAACTTGGAGCCCAGCCCAGGCAACCGAGGGACTTTGCAAAATCTCATCTCCCAAAAAAAAAAAAAAAATTCTTTTAAAGGCACATGCTGGAGAAGTAGCTCATTGTAAAAGCTCAGGGTTTGTTCTGGGGTTTCAGAAAAACAGATTTCCTGAGCAGGGCTGACGTCAGAGGGGACAGGGCGGGGGCGGGGCGATTACCAGTGCTTTCGGAAGCCCTGAGGTCTAGCAGATCCGGCGCCATAGCAACACTAAGACGCATGCGCTGTGAGTCCTCGAGCGTGGCCTCCCCTCCCTCCCTCCAGCGCCCCACCCTGGAGGGAGAGCGGAGCAGAGCGTGGCCTTATGGGGCATCAACTTTGAATAATCCTATCTCCCCCCAGAAACACCAAGTCCAAAAGCACTGTATCTTCCTTGTCCAGCGGCAGTGCTTGAGCTGCTTGGACATCCCGGTGGAACCTGCCACCCTCCCTTGTAAGCCTCACAGCCAGGATGAAGGAATTAATGCTGTCCCTTCTGCTGCCTCCGATCGCTTGGAGGGCACAACTGCACATAGCCTGTCAAGATGGAACTGTAGGGGACAATTCCAAACCACTGTCTCAAGGAATGCAGATTCAGCCTCTGGGGAAGAAGCGGTCAGTCGGTCAGTTCCCCAGTTAAGTCATCCTGGGGGAGTGGGCAGGGTGGGTGAAGAGACGAAGTGCAGACTGGCGGAGAAGACAAAGCCAGTGACCAGTACAGAAGTTACTGGCCAAGGAGGAAGGAAGGAAGAAGCCAAGCAGGAGAAAGGCCACTCAAGATAGAACAGCTGCCAAAAGGGTGCCCAGGCCGGAAAGCTAATACTAAGGCTTCCTGTGAGGGGGGGATCTCAGCTTCTCATTTTGAATTCCAGAATCTGATGTAGTCACAACCTCATCACCAGACAAATGTGAGCACCAACAAAGAAATATTGAAGTCTAAGCAAGACCAAACTGCTGCGATAGTTAGATGTCCCGCATCTAGCTCTAACTGGAGGTCCTGCGCTAGAGAAGCTGAGCCTAGAGGCAAAATAGAGAGGAGGAACACGCTGTTATCAAGTATGACCCAGAAAGCTGGAAACATTAAGCAGCCGAGAAAGAAAAGAGAGCCTCAACACCTGATCAGAATGATAGTGCCAAAAGAAAAAGCCAAGCAGCTTCCTTTGAAGCACCACGGATCCATGCTTTTCTGCCAAAGAAGGGACATGTTCCCATTTTCCTCAGGTGCATGGGAAATAAGCCTACCCCCAAA